CGTTGCGATCCCCCAGGCCATTGGGGACCCCCCCCGGACCCCTCCAGGGATGTTGGGATCCCTCTGGCCATTGAGGAACCCCCCAGGATCCCTCCCAGGGACATTTGAGACCCCTCTAGGGGATGTTGGGGACCCCCTGGCCATTGGGAACCCTCCTGGGGACTTTGGGGACCCCTCTAGGGATGTTGTGGACCCCCCTGGGGGACATTTGGGACTTGGGGATCTCCCTGGCCATCGGGGACCCCCCTGGAGACTTTGGGGACCCTTCTGGGACCCCTCCAGGGATGTTGGGACCCCTCTGGCCATTGAGGAACCCCCCCAGGATCCCTCCCAGGGTCACCTGGGACCCCTCTAGGGGATGTTGGGACCCCTCCAGGGATGTTGGGGACCCCCTGACCGTTGGGAACCCTCCTGGGGACTTTGGGGACCCCTCTAGGGATGTTGGGGACCCCCTGGGTGACATTTGGGATCCCTCTGGCCATTGGGAACCCCCCTGGGGACTTTGGGGACCCCCCTGGGGGATGTTTGGATCCCCCTGGCCATTGAGGAACCCCCCCAGGATCCCTCCCAGGGACATTTGAGCCCCCTCTAGGGATGTTGGGGTCCCCGTGGCCATCGGAGACCCCCCTGGGGACTTTGGGGACCCCTCTGAGGGACATTTGGGGACCCCTCTGAGGGACGTTTGGATCCCTCTGACCATTGAGGAACCCCCCAGGATCCCTCCCAGGGACCTTTGAGACCCTCTAGGGGATGTTGGGACCCCTCCAGGGATGTTGGGGACCCCCTGGGTGACATTTGGGATCCCTCTGGCCATTGGGAACCCCCCTGGGGACTTTGGGGACCCCCCTGGGGGATGTTTGGATCCCCCTGGCCATTGAGGAACCCCCCCAGGATCCCTCCCAGGGACATTTGAGACCCCTCTAGGGATGTTGGGGACCCCGTGGCCATCGGAGACCTCCCTGGGGACTTTGGGGACCCCTCTGGGAGCCCCCCCAGGGACATTTGGGACCCCTCCAGGGATGTTGGGGACCCCCTGGCCATCAGGGACCCCCCCCAGGACCCCTCCAGGGATGTTTGGATCCCTCTGACCATTGAGGAACCCCCCCGGGATCCCTCCCAGGGACATTTGGGACCCCTCCAGGGATGTTGGGGACCCCCCGACTGTTGGGGACCCCCTGGGGGACATTTGGGACCCCTCCAGGGACGTTGGGATCCCCCTGGGGGACGTTTGGGACCCCCCCAGGGACATTTGGGACCCCTCCAGAGATTTTGGGGACCCTTCTGGGACCCCTCCCAGGGACCTTTGAGACCCCTCAAGGGGATGTTGGGGACCCCCCCAGGGATGTTGGGATCCCTCTGGCCATTTAGGAACCCCCCAGGATCCCTCCCAGGGACATTTGAGACCCCTCTAGGGATGTTGGGGACCCCGTGGCCATCGGAGACCTCCCTGGGGACTTTGGGGACCCCTCTGGGAGCCCCCCCAGGGACATTTGGGACCCCTCCAGGGATGTTGGGGACCCCCTGGCCATCAGGGACCCCCCCCAGGACCCCTCCAGGGATGTTGGGATCCCTCTGACCATTGAGGAACCCCCCAGGATCCCTCCCAGGGACCTTTGAGACCCTCTAGGGGATGTTGGGACCCCTCCAGGGATGTTGGGGACCCCCTGGGTGACATTTGGGATCCCTCTGGCCATTGGGAACCCCCCTGGGGACTTTGGGGACCCCCCTGGGGGATGTTGGGATCCCCCTGGCCATTGAGGAACCCCCCCAGGATCCCTCCCAGGGACATTTGAGACCCCTCTAGGGATGTTGGGGACCCCGTGGCCATCGGAGACCTCCCTGGGGACTTTGGGGACCCCTCTGGGAGCCCCCCCAGGGACATTTGGGACCCCTCCAGGGATGTTGGGGACCCCCTGGCCATCAGGGACCCCCCCCAGGACCCCTCCAGGGATGTTGGGATCCCTCTGACCATTGAGGAACCCCCCAGGATCCCTCCCAGGGACCTTTGAGACCCTCTAGGGGATGTTGGGACCCCTCCAGGGATGTTGGGGACCCCCTGGGTGACATTTGGGATCCCTCTGGCCATTGGGAACCCCCCTGGGGACTTTGGGGACCCCCCTGGGGGATGTTGGGATCCCCCTGGCCATTGAGGAACCCCCCCAGGATCCCTCCCAGGGACATTTGAGACCCCTCTAGGGATGTTGGGGACCCCGTGGCCATCGGAGACCTCCCTGGGGACTTTGGGGACCCCTCTGGGAGCCCCCCCAGGGACATTTGGGACCCCTCCAGGGATGTTGGGGACCCCCTGGCCATCAGGGACCCCCCCCAGGACCCCTCCAGGGATGTTGGGATCCCTCTGACCATTGAGGAACCCCCCAGGATCCCTCCCAGGGACCTTTGAGACCCTCTAGGGGATGTTGGGACCCCTCCAGGGATGTTGGGGACCCCCTGGGTGACATTTGGGATCCCTCTGGCCATTGGGAACCCCCCTGGGGACTTTGGGGACCCCCCTGGGGGATGTTGGGATCCCCCTGGCCATTGAGGAACCCCCCCAGGATCCCTCCCAGGGACATTTGAGACCCCTCTAGGGATGTTGGGGACCCCGTGGCCATCGGAGACCTCCCTGGGGACTTTGGGGACCCCTCTGGGAGCCCCCCCAGGGACATTTGGGACCCCTCCAGGGATGTTGGGGACCCCCTGGCCATCAGGGACCCCCCCCAGGACCCCTCCAGGGATGTTGGGATCCCTCTGACCATTGAGGAACCCCCCAGGATCCCTCCCAGGGACCTTTGAGACCCTCTAGGGGATGTTGGGACCCCTCCAGGGATGTTGGGGACCCCCTGGGTGACATTTGGGATCCCTCTGGCCATTGGGAACCCCCCTGGGGACTTTGGGGACCCCCCTGGGGGATGTTGGGATCCCCCTGGCCATTGAGGAACCCCCCCAGGATCCCTCCCAGGGACATTTGAGACCCCTCTAGGGATGTTGGGGACCCCGTGGCCATCGGAGACCTCCCTGGGGACTTTGGGGACCCCTCTGGGAGCCCCCCCAGGGACATTTGGGACCCCTCCAGGGATGTTGGGGACCCCCTGGCCATCAGGGACCCCCCCCAGGACCCCTCCAGGGATGTTGGGATCCCTCTGACCATTGAGGAACCCCCCAGGATCCCTCCCAGGGACCTTTGAGACCCTCTAGGGGATGTTGGGACCCCTCCAGGGATGTTGGGGACCCCCTGGGTGACATTTGGGATCCCTCTGGCCATTGGGAACCCCCCTGGGGACTTTGGGGACCCCCCTGAGGGATGTTGGGATCCCCCTGGCCATTGAGGAACCCCCCCAGGATCCCTCCCAGGGACATCTGGGACCCTCAAGGGGATGTTGGGACCCCTCCAGGGTTGTTGGGGACCTCCTTGGGGACTTTGGGGACCCCTCCAGGAGCCCCCCCAAGGGACCTTTGAGACCCTCAAGGGGACGTTGGGATCCCCCAGGCCATTGGGGACCCCCCCAGGACCCCTCCAGGGATGTTGGGATCCCTCTGGCCATTGAGGAACCCCCCAGGATCCCTCCCAGGGACATTTGAGACCCCTCCAGGGATGTTGGGGACCCCCCAACCGTTGCGAACCCTCCTGGGGACTTTGGGGACCCCCCTGAGGGACATTTGGGACCCCCCTGGCCATCAGAGACCTCCCTGAGGACTTTGGGGACCCCCCCGGGACCTCTCCAGGGACTTTGGGATCCCCCTGGCCATTGGAGACCCCCCTGGGGACTTTGGGGACCCTTCTGGGACCCCTCCCAGTGACCTTTGAGACCCCTCCAGGGGACATTTGAGACCCCTCTGGCCATTGAGGAACCCCCCCAGGATCCCCCCCAGGGAGATCTGGGACCCCTCTAGGGGATGTTAGGACCCCTCCAGAGATGTTGGGGACCCCCCCAGGACCCCTCCAGGGATTCTGGGATCCCCCTGGCCATTGGAGACCCCCCTGGGGACTTTGGGGACCCCTCTAGGGATGTTGTGGACCCCCCTGGGGGACATTTGGGACTTGGGGATCTCCCTGGCCATCGGGGACCCCCCTGGGGACTTTGGGGACCCTTCTGGGACCCCTCTCAGGGATGTTGGGATCCCTCTGACCATTGAAGAACCCCCCTGGGATCCCTCCCAGGGACCTTTGAGGCCCCTCTAGGGGATGTCGGGACCCCTCCAGGGATGTTGGGACCCCTCCAGAGGCGTTGGTGACCCCTCTAGGGGACATTGGGGTGTCCCCCCTCCCCCCCAAAACCTCACCCCTTGCTCGTCCAGCTTGAGGAGCTGCTCGGTGACCTTTGGGGTGCTGAGGGCCAGGCGCAGGCAGTGGATGTTGAGCTCGGGGACCACGTACTCCAGGGCGTCCCTCAGGGGCAGCCCCCGCCCCGTCCCGGCCTTGGTGGCC